GGTTAATGGTCAAGGTCATTTGGGTCCAAAGGTCAAAGACAAAGTGGATCTCTGACTTTGACCCTGGCTCTTGATGGAGGAGGTATATAAGGTGAAATAAAACAAATCAAAGCTAACAAATGAGTATTGCACCGGTATTTACATTTCTGTTAGCCCAGCAAATATGGAGGTGGAAGGAAACAAGACTCACATCATAGTACATGTAAAATGTATATTTTGCTTCCTTGCGAGTCCAAATGTCAAACGTCAAGCGCAGCTATATGGGAAGATTGCTTCTTGATGATTATGGGGGATATATTGCCACAAGACGGGGCCCTTACTGACCTGTCAGTGTTCTAGTTAAAAGCTCAGTCCTATGAGGTAACTGAACTTGTAATTAGAAGCTCAGTCCTATGAGGTAACTGAACTTGTAATTAGAAGCTCAGTCCTCTGAGGAAACTGAACTTGTAATTAGAAGCTCAGTCCTCTGAGGAAACTGAACTTGTAATTATAAGCTCTGTCCTATGAAGTAACTGAACTTTTAATTATAAGCTCAGTCCTATGAGGTATATGAACTTGTAATTAGAAGCTCAGTCCTCTGAGGTATATGAACTTGTAATTAGAAGCTCAGTCCTATGAGGTAACTGAACTTGTAATTATAAGCTCTGTCCTATGAGGTAACTGAACTTTTAATTATAAGCTCTGTCCTATGAGGTATATGAGCTTGTAATTATAAGCTCTGTCCTATGAGGTATATGAGCTTGTAATTATAAGCTCTGTCCTATGAGGTATATGAGCTTGTACTTATAAGCTCAGTCCTATGAGGTATATGAGCTTGTAATTATAAGCTCTGTTCTATGAGGTAAATGAGCTTGTTATTATAAGTTCAGTCCTATGAGGTATATGAGCTTGTAATTATAATCTCAGTCCTATGAGGTAAATGAGCTTGTAATTATAAGTTCTGTCCTATGAGGTATATGAGCTTGTAATTATAAGCTCTGTCCTATGAGGTATATGAGCTTGTAATTATAAGCTCTGTCCTATGAGCCTGAGGTATATGAGCTTGTAATTTTAAGCTCAGTCCTATGAGGTATATGAGCTTGTTATTATAAGCTCTGTCCTATGAGGTAAATGAGCTTGTAATTTTAAGCTCTGTCCTATGAGGTATATGAGGATGTAAACTCTGCCGTACACTAACAAATAATGTATATTTGCTGTTAACAGGTAATGAGGTGATACAGTACAAGCCATCAGATGATGTGATTCCAGACCTATTTGACCTGGCTGATCTGTCCCAAGCAGAGGATGATCCGCTGAGTAACTCCTCTGTGGACTGTTTCAAATCAAAAGCCCTCGAGACTCCTACCGTGCAAGTGTCATCAGACGAACTTGATATTGATTGACAATATGAAAACTGTGATCTTGTTAATTTTTGTACAGGTCTCAGAGAGACAAATATTTACCTCGTGGACACATTCTGAGGGTCGTGATGTTTGATATGACAGTCTCCTTTATAAAAGCAGTGGCGCTGGCTGAAATAGACTGATTTTCTTATCACAGACATACCAGGTATCTTGGTTATAAATGTTGTCTCCAAGCAAATATTGGATCTTAATAAGTGAGGTTGTCTCCAAACAAACATTTGCTCCCAACTATTAAGGTCACCTTTAAATAAACAATAGATCTTAGCTAGTGAGGTCATCTTGAAACAATTCTCGATCCTAACTGTTGAGATTTTGTCATTACAAAAAGTTGGGTCCTACCAGTGGAAGTCATACCCAAACAAATGGTGGATCATAGCTAAAGGTCATTGTAGCAGTGGATCTAGATATATGTCATTGTAGCAGTTGATCATAGCTATAGGTCATTGTAGCAGTGGATCTAGTTATAGGTCATTGTAGCAGTGGATCATAGCTACAGGTCATTGTAGCAGTGGATCATAGCTACAGGTCATTGTAGCAGTGGATCATAGCTTTAGGTCATTTAAGCAGTGGATCTAGATATAGCTCATTGTAGCAGTGGATCTAGATATAGGTCCTTGTAGCAGTGGATCTAGATATATGTCATTGCAGTGGATCTAGATATAGGTCATTTTAGCAGTGGATCTAGAGATAGGTCATTGTAGCAGTGGATCTAGATCTAGGTCATTGTAGCAGTGGATCTAGATCTAGGTCATTGTAGCAGTGGATCTAGATATAGGTCATTGTAGCAGTGGATCTAGATATAGGTCATTTAAGCAGTGGATCATAGCTATAGGTCATTTAAGCAGTGGATCTAGATATAGGTCATTGTAGCAGTGGATCTAGATATAGGTCATTGCAGTGGATCTAGATATAGGTCATTTTAGCAGTGGATCTAGATATAGGTCATTGTAGCAGTGGATCTAGATATAGGTCATTGTAGCAGTGGATCATAGCTACAGGTCATTGTAGCAGTGGATCATAGCTATAGGTCATTGTAGCTGTGGATCATAGCTATAGGTCATTGTAGCAGTGGATCTAGATATAGGTCATTGTGGCAGTGGATCTAGATATATGTCAATGTAGCAGTGGATCTAGCTATAGGTCATTGTAGCAGTGGATCTAGATATAGTTCATTGTAGCAGTGGATCTAGCTATAGGTCATTGTAGCAGTGGATCTAGATAAAGGTCATTGTAGCAGTGGATCTAGATATAGGTCATTGTAGCAGTGGATCATAGCTATAGATCATTGTAGCTGTGGATCATAGCTATAGGTCATTGTAGCAGTGGCTCTAGATATAGGTCATTGTAGCAGTGGATCTATATATAGGTCATTGTAGCAGTGGATCTAGATATAGGTCATTGTAGCAGTGGATCTAGATATATGTCAATGTAGCAGTGGATCTAGCTATAGGTCATTGTAGCAGTGGATCATAGCTATAGGTCATTGTAGCAGTGGATCAAGATAAAGGTCATTGTAGCAGTGGATCTAGATATAGGTCATTGTAGCAGTGGATCTAGGCTTTTGAAGTTATCCCTAAACAAATGATGCATCTAGGATAAAGGTCATCTCCAAACAAGCAATAGACCATGGCTATTGACTTTGTATCTGAAAGAAAATCGATTTTAGCAATAAGTCATCTACAAACAAATGATTGATCTTAGCTATTGACTCTATATTTGAACAAATAATGGATCTTGGAAATAGATCATCTGTGAAACAATTATGGATCTTAGATATTGAAATATTCTCCATACAAACAATGGATCTTAGCAGTAGGATGTGTTTACACAAATAATGGATCTTAATGGTTGAGGCTTTCTCCAAACAAAGAACTTTAGCTACTGAGATTGTTTCTAAACAAACAATGGATCTTGACAATATGTCATCTTCCAAAAATATTGGAGCTTATCTTTTGAGTTGTTCTCCAAACAATGCATTTTAGCAGTGGGCTATTGGCAAACTAAAAACTATCTTTACTACTAAGGTCATCTTCAAACAACATTGGATCTGAGCTGGTCATGTCCTAACAAACCATGGATCTTGGTTATTGAAGTGATTGGGAAGTGTTGGGTCTGACCTGTAAATGTCATCTCCTGGCAAACAATGGACTAAGCAATGGGTCATCTTCAAACAAACAAAAATCAATTGATGTATTGAAGTAACTCCCAAATAAACATGGATGGTAGAAACAGGTCGTCTCCAAAAGATGGATCTTAAGCTATTAAGGTCGTCTTCAAGCAGCTATTTGATCTTAGCAATATATCATCTCCAAGCAAACAATAGGTCTAAGCTATACGCCGCCTCTAAACAAACAGTGGATGTTGGCTATTGAGGTCATATTGAGAGTGAAGTCTTCGGTTGGGTGATCTTATTTTAAGAAAAGTATGTGTTTAGGGTTAAGCATTGGGCGAATGCTCACAGAATGCAAGTTAGATTCAAGGTGATATAAAAGTTACGTATGTATGAGGTGTCTAGTCGCTAACATGTACAAATGTCGGGCTTGTTTAACCGTAATGTGAACGTAAAATCTAGGGCAGTTGGATCTAGGAAAATAACTTATAATTAGTCCACAACCAGAACTAATAGAAAGTTTTATAGGTTTGCGATCTGTCCGTCTGTCAGTCTGTCTGTCTGATTGCTTCTTAGTTGTTTGGGGCATATCTTGTATAACTGTTCACACTTTTGCCAAATTTTGTTTGCAGGTAACTCATTAGATGATAGAAATAAGTTTTTGTGCCCTACCATATATACAGAGTTACAGGTTTTCAGATAATTTTTGGTACCTTTCTTGAGGTGGGGGACTATGCATTACTTGCAATACTCTGCCTGGTTATTACATATATAGATGTATAAACATTGTGAGTCAACTGCCAGTAATACAAAAAAGCTAGAAATCATTTTTTAAGTTTGACTATTGTTATAGTTTCTGGGTTCCTGTTCACTGCTTGAAATGAAATAATATATATACACAGCATTTTTTATGCCCATCTGTGGTTGATTGTATTTGTCCCTCTGTCCATGAACTGTTTCTCTACTGTACATGCATACAATTACTTCCATAAAGATACTCAGATTTACATAAACTTGCGCTGTAACTGCAGTTTTACAAAGTGTAAGACAAAATTGTTCAGCATTGAATATAATCTGTATGAGTAATCAACATACTTCTGTCTGATTGGTGGATTCATTTCCGTGCAATAACATACTTAAATATCGTCTGATTTGAACAAAAATTGCTAAGCAATGAAAAGGGGTGTAAGGCAAAATTTGGGATAGAGCAAAATCTATGCATCACCGATAAGCCTTCCTTTCTGCACAAAAACTATGATCAATAGCATAGATTTTTATGAAACTAATTTTTTGTATGCCTGTCTCGACAGGACGTGTTGTAATATGGCTTTTTTCATTCTCTCACCTGGCATCTGATTCCTTTGAAACTTGGTAGGGTTTGCCACAATCCAATATGATTAGGGATATTTAATGAGACATATTGATCCCATAATTATTAGCCTGCCCTTGTCTATTTTGAGCATAACAAATTTGTCTATACATTTCCCTGAAGCTTACAGTGGTTAATCATTGCCATTTCTAGTTGTGCATGTAAATTAGACATTTTTATGCAATAAGTATTTGCAGATCTAGAGTTACTGCCCTTTTTGTACATTTAAAGTTGTTTAAAAAAGCTACTGTGTGTCTTACCTGTCACATGGACCTACTTTTTGCAGACAAGTACCATCCATTACACTTTTCTCCAAAACCCAACTTTTTGTAATGATAGCGTTTACAACTATGAAACACTGCACTTTGTTTCCACAAATAATTAAAAAAGGATAGGCTATTATTTACCTGATCCTTGCTGTAGTGTTTGACACGGTTTCATCTTTGAATGGATTAATGAATTCTAGACTTCCTTATTATTACAGAGCCAATTATATATTATAGACCAATTTGTCAAGATGCGGCTGTTATTTGTTTCAAACCTTTTCCTTAAAGGACAAAGAAAGAGATTATTGTGCTTGAATCTTGCTGTGATGAAGGGCTTTTGCATTAACCAAATGCACCACTTTTGCCTACTTTCAGGGCAACAGGCCGGAGGCCAAACGTGTGGAAACCTTCTAAGAACTTTTGAACAGAACTATGAAGCTTAAAGTCATGAATTTTCGCTTGGAGCTTTCTAATTTTGTTGGAAGAAATGACATTGACCACTTTCAAGGTCACAAAGGTTAAAAATGTAAAAATTCCATGATTCTTATTGCTTTCTTGATGAGATGGAATGTTCATATGGTTAAATGGATGACAAACCTGCTCACAGTTATCTGTATATTTACCTGGTAGATAGAAGAAAAATCACTAGGTGAGCGATTCCGGGCGTTGGCTCTCTTGGTTTTACTGACATGTGCCCATAGTTGATTAACACATTTGATAATTACAGTAGAATAGAGGTGTTCCTAGCTGAAGTTGCTGGATTTTAAGATGACGACTATGGGGACAGTTTTGTATAGAAAGTATGCAATGCGTCCCCTCAAAATACTGGCTGGATAGTGTAACATCCAGATTACGTGAGCAGTAACTTGGTCTGTTTTTGTTTATCAGCTTCCAACTGTTTTGACCACAGCTCATTTATGAAATAGGGAGAAACCTTTTCTGATGAGCCTCGGCTGAGACTTTGAAGGCCTGCATTAACAATTATAGATCTATAAGGTTTTACCACTGAAAAATTGCATTTTAAAAATAGACAAACGGGTAAGGTCACATACACAAAAAGGCCCCTGATAAAAGTGACTAGACTTCACTGTATACATGGAAAAATACAAAGCATTAGTATTATCGATGGAACATTGTAGGTGAGCAATTGTCTAGATGCGATACATTTTGCTTGTAGATTGTGTATTTACCAATGAACACATATCCTAATTAGCCCATACAAGACGCCATCAAACAGGGTTCTAACGTAACTTTATATATATGGGACAATTATGTTTGTTTTTATGAAAAGAACAAAGAGTACACTGTCATTTTATTGCGACATCCTAGTCAAATGAACTGGCACACCATTTGAAATGCCATTGGCAATGATTTCTGTTACTTAAGTAACATGAACTATTCTTGTTTCACAATTAATACCAATTCTATGGGGTGAGTTCTCATATCTTTCTCTATGCTTTTCACTTAGAAAAGATTATGAAGGACAAAACCCCATTTCGTGAAATAATAATTGGTACTGAAGAAGTAATATTTATTGTCTCTAATTAAAAAAAGAGACATGTGTAGTAATATTCTACATTCTGTTTATATAAAAAGAAAGCAAAACAAAAAACACAAAATTGCAGTTGTTGCCTTTATAGACTTTCTCTTAAGTTTAACCCTTCTGCAGTCCGACCTAAGTGTTGATACTGTGGATCAACAGTTGGGTGTCACTGACCAATTGGTGTACGGCTTTAATGTTTAAGCCAGTATTTATCTGTTGTAGAAGCTGTTGTTATTGTTTTAACTTGTGTATTTAAGATTGAAAAAAATAATTGTTTTCATGCTTTATTTTTGTACTGTGAAGCCTTTTTCAATTCACTTTGTATATTTTCACATAGTAGGAAATACATTAATTCATTATTGATGTATACAAAGACATTGATTTATAGAGGTGATATTTACGTGTTTATTACCGTCCTCAAAATTCAAGAGTTCTGCTCTAATTACACGTATCTTCTCATACACATATCTTCTCTGCACTGCTCAAATTTGTTATGACAAAATGGAAGGCTCGTGGTAAGCTACTTGATTGGTTTCAAATGTAAAATCCTGACCAATAGCTGGTCTGATACCTGTCCTTTGAAGGTAACAGAAGAGCAACATACCCTTACGTCGCTGCACAATTCTTTTGATCCTCATCAGATACAATGGACTACTAGTCTATTTGTATTGTAAGCAAGGTGTTTGGTAAAAAGCCTCCAATTTTGTCATGACATATTCAAGGGATACAGGGGAAATATGAGTAGCCTTGGATTTTGAGGATGGTTCACTACAGGAAGTTAACCAATCAATTGTTTAGGTGGTATGGTTTTGTAAGCATACTTCATTAAATTAAATAGTGTTTGACCATGTCATGCTTTGGTCGATGGATAAGAGAAATATTGAATTGTTGGCAGGTTATCTGTTCTCGGTTACAAATTTAAAAAAAAAGAATGTTGTTTACATAGTGAGCACCAGAACACGAGTATAAAAGTGCTGAGTATATGTTTAAGTATGTCAACTGTTATATATGTCACTGGAGTTGTTGGTGGATTTACTTCAGTCACTGTGTTCTGTAAATAGACAGTATCTTCATGTAGGTCACGTTTTGCATGCGGTTTGTAATAATTGTGTGTGAAAGGGAGAAGGATGTTTTTTTAATGAACAAGTGGAAACATGCAACTGTAACTTTTAATCATCAACATTACATAATCATATTGGTTAAAGATGACATGACTATTATTAATGCTAAAACAAAGACTTTGGATCTGATGTTTTAATTATAATTCATGTTTTAATTACCATTCATATCATTAATGAATATTCATTTTTTGTTCGGAAGTTGTTTGTAGATAATTTTTTGTTAAAGTACATTAAAGTAGATTCTATGCCAAAACTTCAGATAGAGTTAGAGTTAAAGTTGTATATATAGCTACGTAGCCAAGTTATACATAATACATGAATAGGCCCGCCGTAATGAAGTTAGGTGGGATGAACTGGAATCCTGGTGTCTGTTGATTTGTCCGTCTGTATAGATTTGTCCTACAGTATTGCATTGATGTCAGTTTGTACACTTAATCAATATATGCGTGATATTATTTAGCCATTTGATTGATTTTTTTTGACAAATTCTGTAGAGTTATGACCCTTCTCATTAAAGAAAATATGGCTGTACTGCTTCTCTTAAAATACTGCATAGATTTCACTGAACTCTTTAAATTTTAATAAGTTTGAAGGCAGTTGTAATCTATACAATATAGTTTTTCTTTTTGAATTTTGTAAATATTATTTAGTCCATTACAACGGAAAGAGGAGGTGTGGGAATATATAGCCTACAGATTACAGTTCTACTTTTAGTACCTTGTTCATGTGACAAATGTCATGTATTTTACCGGAAAAGTAAGATACATAGACATCAGTTCAATAATTATTACCAGGTAATTCTAATCGGATAGAAAACAAATTTGAAATATATGCATTTCAATCTGATTTTCGCTTTAAGAATGTTTATAGTACCATATATTTACTGCTGCATGTTTACAATAGGAGTAAGAGTAAAATCAAGCATGTTCACTGCTTGGATGTGAATGAAATCTGATGTTTGATTCACTGTACAAAACCTTTTCTTACCTTATAAACTTAAAAACTTTGTAAGTTGATGTAAAAATGTAAAAAAGTTTTGGGAAAAAGATAGGTTCACATTTTTATTTGAGAAAACTAGCAGTAAATATCGCCTATAAAGGTACCTGAATTATTTTTGTCTCATTTCTTTTGTTACTAGGCATCTTCAAAAGAAAATACAAGAAACAATTACTTAAACCATGACTAAGGTAATTCTAAAACTTAAACCATGACTCAAGTACTTCTAAGATTTAATGCCAGAGCAATTCCGGTTTTAAACACTAGTCTGCTTAAAGTGGCAGTAAAATCTTTCACAGGTAAAACTTTAAGTATTTGTTTTACATTAATTCTGCTTGATCTTAGTCCATCACATCTAATACTTGAAAACAGAAATACCCTCCCCCTAAAAAAAAATCACAAAAAAAACCGATGAAAAAACCTGCTTTATAACCTTTGTCCCGTCATTGAAATTCTTACTATGACCTTAGTCACTTTGTACCAGGTCATGTTAGTTTTATTAATGTCTCAGAATTTGAGTTCTAAGATGTTAACATGTGTAATTATGTTATGCTAATACAATGATTAACATGTATTAATGATATATGTTTGGATCAATTTTATGCTTTTTGTTTTAGTATTGCAGTACAAATTAACACATATATGTTATGAAATAGTTCCTTGCTATTTAGAAAGGTCTTTGTTAGCAGAGAAGGTATTAGAAAGAGATAGGGGTGTTTAGTTAGCAGGGATTATAACAAGGAACAGTACAGGACGGGAGTATTGTCGCTATGCATGAAGGTGCGAGACCGAGTTGAATGTCAGGAGAGGCGAGTGATCCATCTTTAGACAGGGTATGTGTGTGTGCGCACATGGTTTATGAAATTTGAAGTCATTGCTGTCATGCCTGATCATGTGTACCTGTAACAGTGTGTATGTATATGTGTGTGTGTGAACATGAATTCAGTAACGTAAATTATAAGTCACATGAGCTATCGTGCATAATCATGTATAATAAGCATTTTGAAATAAATCACTGAAGCAAATTCTAGGGGTTGTGACTCTATTGTGGTTTTATCTTGGAATGATCCAACATATGGCTATTTTCTGACAGAAAGATGAAAACAACAGGGAGGAAATTATAGCTTACTGCCACAATAGTTATGATATGTTGTATATGATTTAAACCGAGATTCTTCGAAGTGTGCTGTTACAAACCTTATTCCACGAGTCACGATTAAAAATATGTAACACAAAAATATGGCGATTGTAAGTAATGTTTATTTACTGACGAAAAAGAATATAAATAGACTCCAAACGTTTGCAGGATTAATATGGGATTTAGCTCCCCTCAACAGCTAAGCTCATATAAAGGTGGATAAATTGGAAGACACCGCCGACAAAAAAGTGTATACAAGGGAAATTGATAAGGATCCTAAGTACAGCGTTAAGCACAAGAACATCAGCACTTAAACATGTACAGCATTAAGCACAAGAACATCGGCACTTAAACATGTATAGCATTAAGCACAAGAACATCAGCCCTAAAACATGTACAGCATTAAGCACACGAACATCGGCACTGAAACATGTACAGCACTAAAACATGTACAGCATTAAGCACACGAACATCGGCACTGAAACATGTACAGCACTAAAACATGTACAGCACTAAAACATGTGCAACACTAAGCACAAGAACATCAGCACTAAAACATGTACAGCATTAAGCACAAGAACATCGGCACTAAGACATGTACAGCAGTAAGCACAAGAACATCAACCCTAAAACATGTACAGCACTAAAACATGCACAGCATTAAGCACAGGAACATCGGCACTAAAACATGTACAGCGTTAAGCACAAGAACATCAGCACTAAAACATGTACAGCGTTAAGCACAAGAACATCAACACTAAAACATGTACAGCACTAAAACATGTACAACATTAAGCACAAGAACATCAACCCTAAAACATGTACAGCACTAAAACATGTACAGCATTAAGCACAAGAACATCAGCACTTAAACATGTACAGCAGTAAGCACACGAACATCAACACTAAAACATGTACAGCATTAAACACAAGAACATCAGCACTAAAACATGTACAGCATTAAACACAAGAACATCAACACTAAAACATGTACAGCATTAAAACATGTACAGCATTAAGAACAAGAACACCAGCACTAAAACATGTACAGCATTAAGCACACGAACATCAGCATTAAAACATGTACAGCATTAAGCACAAGAACATCGGCAATAAAACATGTACAGCATTAAGCAAAAGAACATCAACCCTAAAACATGTACAGCATTAAGCACACGAACATTAGCACTAAAACATGTTCAGCATTAAGCACAAGAACATCAACCCTAAAACATGTACAACATTAAGCACAAGAACATCAGCACTAAAACATGTACAGCATTAAGCACAAGAACATCGGCTCTAAAACATGTACAGCATTAAGCACAAGAACATCAACCCTAAAACATATACCGCACTAAAACATGTACAGCATTAAGCACAAGAACATCAACACTAAAACATATACAGCACTAAAACATGTACAGCATTAAGCACAAGAACATCAGCACTAAAACATGCACAGCACTAAAACATGTACAGCATTAAACACAAGAACATCAGCACTAAAACATGTACAGCACTAAAACATGTACAGCATTAAGCACAAGAACATCAACCCTAAAACATGTACAGCGCTAAGCACAAGAACATCAGCACTAAAACATGTACAGCACTAAAACATGTACAGCATTAAACACAAGAACATCAGCACTAAAACATGTACAGCATTAAGCACAAGAACATCAGCGCTAAAACATGTACAGCATAAAGCACAAGAACATCAATCCTAAAACATGTACAGCACTAAAACATGTACAGCATTAAGTACAAGAACATCAGCATTAAGCACAAGAACATCAGCACTAAAACATTTTCCAGTTATAGTTATCATATAGCACATGACATTACATCAAAGTATGCTATATTTATGGATACAGTAAAACAATATCGGCACTAAACTGTGTTATATTTACAAGATACTATAACGAATTTCACACTGAAACTTGTTAGATGAATAAGATTCAATGTAATGAAATTAACATCAACAATAAAGCATGTGTTGAATATGGTAAAGATTCTAATAGCTGAATACAGTGTCAATTTGTGATGAAATAGCTTGCTTGCAACACGAGCGCTTTTAAAGAAAGTTTTATTTTTTGTGAGATTTCTACTATAAATTGGAAAGTGAAGTTCAAGATCACCTTAAAAATGTCACTGACTACAAAACAAGGTTACCATTAATTGCTAGGGGTTTTGAATACCTTTACTAATAATTAATTAAGTAATTAATGAATTGTTATTAATTATGCGTAAATTTCCACAGATCACGTTGACCAGCGATTGGAGCCTGAAACATGTAATATGTATGTACACCCCAACATTTGTTGAAAAAGGACCATCATTAAGCGTATTTTATAGAAAAATATTACCCAATAAGAATGTGTAAGTGTAATAATTTATCCATAAATATGCATGAATCATATTGTCGAGTGAATTTAGTCTTAAAAATGTTAATATGTATACATGTACACACCAAATTCTGTAGAAATAGGACCAGTATTAGAGCACTTATTGCATAGGAACCAATAAACCAATCAAAATGTATATGCACAGATGACATTGCCTAGCGAACTTAGTCTTAAACATCTTCATATGAATGTGCACGTAATTTTGTTCAAATCATACCATTATTAGAGCACTTATTGCACAGAAACCAATAAACCAATCGAAATTTATATGCACAGATGACATTGCCAAGCGAACTTAGTCTTAAACATCTTCATATGAATGTGCACGTAATTTTGTTCAAATCATACCATTATTAGCGTAATTATTGCACGGAAACCAATAAACCAATCAAAATGTATAACGGTATTAATTATGCGTAATTATGCACGGATGACATTGACCAGCGAACTTAGTCTTAAACATGTGCACACTAAATTCTGTAGAAATAAGATTGTTAGAGCACTTAATGCACGAAACAAATCAGCCAATCAGAATGTATAAATGTAATAAATTATGCGTAAATAAGCAAGGATCACATTGATGAGCGAACTTTGTCTTTAAACATGTTAATATGTACGCGCACACCGAATTTAGCGTAGTTATTGCACGGGAACTGAAACGTGACGCACGGACGCCCCTAAATTAATAACCCCGACTTCTTCTAAAAGCGAGGGATAAAAAAGCCTGATTTCTTAACCCGATGACCAATCAACACTAACCACAGTTAAAAGGGATATGTACAGGTCTCGTTTGTATTGGATTACAAAACTTTAGACGATTTTATCGCTTACTCTATTACATAATTGCTCAACACAGCCTCTATCAACACTTCTTGAACCCGAAAGGGGAGTATTTTGGTTATAAATTGAGTCTCCTTTGCAATAGTCGATCATACTCCAGCAAAATTTGATTCGAAGCATCATTAGGACCAGGATGCAAATCTTACACAAAGGAATTGTATTGCCCCTTTGGTGCTGAAGGGCGAAGCCCCAACAATTAACAACCTTATTTTCAATGAGAATGTTTTGCTCTATGAGTGCTTTAGGATCCAGATGAACAGTACAGACCCTGTTGGACTCTTGTTCGACGCTAAACCTTAATTAAAATATCTATGTATGTTAATGCACAAACCAATCAAAACTGAAAGTAACGATATTGATTTGAAATGTTGTTAACACATATTTATATATTGTTAATTTTTTTAAAGTGACATACAGTAATTCTCTTTCTAAAGGATAAAGAAAAGCATGGAATTGATATATATTGAAGTAAAAACACTTGTATTTGATAAATTTTCATTTTCAAAATTTACATTTATTTTTCGACATTAAACATTTTGTTCTAGGAATTAGAGAACAAGCAATAAGCTTATATTATTTCTGTTACGCTGAAGCAACCTGTATCTAGTTGAAATCAATGACTACATTATGTTTCACCTTCGCTACATTTGTCTGTGGTTGACTGCTGGTTCTCCACTGGAATCAATTTCGTTTTATCGAATATTTCAGGAAAAGAGATACATTCATGATGGTAGTGTCCATGTATGGAAAACTCATTATATTTTAATTGGAGTCACACAGCGATACCACTGGGTATGAAATAAACGTTTACAAGGCTGGTTACGTAACACCGTATAGTGCAGTTCTGTATTCCCATACCACTGCCAAAATGTAATCAGGCATTGGAAACACTTTCCTCAGAATGACTATTTATTACAGAAAAAATAACATACACATCACATAAATTTCTGAAAGTTAATTATGGCATATTCTGTGGCCACGGCTGTAGTTGAAATATTTTATGTTCAATAATATTTGAAATTGTGAGTGTCGCCACGGGCTGACACCATCAATGTTTTGTTATCCTAACACACAAGAAAAAAATCCACAACGGGTTTCTGAGTGTAAAAATGCGTTTTTTAGACTTTTTTTGTTTGTCTTTTAATACAGATTTGACTTTGAAGATACATCTATATGTACAAGAAATGTACAAAAATCATACATTTGTGAAAGTATTGATTTTATAATGTGGTACTTGATAGAAGCTTTCATACGACAATGAGAAAGCATGTTTTTCTGGATACAATGTCCAATCGGACTAAAGACTTGTGATTAGAAACTCATGTTTTGTAGACGCCACACTCAATCTTACTTCTATAGCACCATGCAGTGTTATGATTTGTTAACTTAACTCAATTTTAAAGCTTTTGAATTTGTTTTATTCCAAACCAAATTGCAAAACGCCATGGTATATTTCTGAATGTGATTAATGAGAAGAATAGATATCGTTAAGTTCAGATCAAGAACAACAAGAACAAAATAAACAAAATAAAATATTTTTGCCTCATTATTATTTTCAAGTTAACAAATCACCAAAATCGGGATCCTGGGCATAGCCCATGTTTGATTGATCTACCTGCCATTGCTCTTTCTATGC